ATGGAAAAGGTCCTTCCACCTTCTAAGCCTTGGTTTGCATAGACTGAATTCCAGAGGGATGGGCAAGGAGAAGTGGTTCCGATATCCTGCCTGAAGGCTTGTCAATGTGCTGCTGGGAGGGATGGAGGGTAGGAATTGCTCCACTGCATCTCCCCATACAGGATTTTTGTTCGATGGGAGAGATGACTAGTTGTTCATGAGCAATTTGAGTGAGAAAGAGAGGGACGGATCTGGAGCCTGGAGGTGGATGTTCATAGCACCCCACCTGGAACTTTCACCACGTGCAGGCATCATAGATAAACTACCAAGCCAAATCCTTTTAAAAGGGAGGGAGAGAAGAAACAGCCTTACCACCAGCAGGCACTACCCTGTCATGGGGCTGTGTCAGTGGAGTGGGACACAAGACCTCTCCCAAAGAAAGGGCTGTCCTTCTCACTACCATGGGGGAACTTGAGACTAGCTCATTCAGTGGTGTCACCGAATGACACCATTGGCCTTCAGAAGGCCACCCAGCTTTTGGCTGGCCTAGGTTAACTGCCTTCATTGGAAATGGTGCGACGTGGTGTTTTGGTTTTGTGATGAAAATGTTGTTGTTAACTGGCGGATGATTTAGTTGTTCTGGGCAGTGCTTCCCAACGGTCAAGGGCCCCTCTGCTTGTCATCATGCTCTGCCAGGGACGGTGTTGGGGGTGCCCAAGCTGCAGTGGGGGAACACAGCCAGGACAGCAGACCCCAGCTGCCCAAAGGGATCCCATACGACACCTTGCTCAGCAATAAAAGCTGGGGTGAAGAAGGAGGAAGGGGAGACATTCATAGTTTTGGCACTGGTCTTACCCACAAAGTACTGCCTCTGGTGGAGCCCTGCTTTCCTTGTGATGGCAAAATATCTGCCCAGCAGTCAGAAGCAGTGAACGGCTTCTGAATTTTGCTTTGCTTGTGCTTGCAGCAGATGTCTTGCCTTGCCTATTAAACTGTCTATATCTCAACCTGTGTGCTTTCTTGCTATTACATTTCCACTTCTCTCCCCCATCCTCTTAGAGGAACATGAGGGAGCAGCTGTGTAGTGTTTCACTGCCCACCAGGGTTAAACCACAGGTCAAAGGCTTCTTTAGGGATCGTAGTGCTCACCTAGTTGATTGTTGATCTCCAGCAGGTTCTCCTCAGACCACGACGTCTTTGCTGCCTCCAAATCCTTGCTTATTTTAGCCTGCATCTCTGCTCTGAGGATCTCAAGGATCTCTGAGGCATCTTGCTTTCTAGATGCCTCCACGTTCTGCAAAGATGTCATCAGAGATTGTATTTTTTCATAGATGGCCTGGAGGGAAGCTTGGTTGTTGGCCACTTCCTCCGGGGGTGGGGCTGCGTGCTGTGAGACTTCCAGTTGGCTCTGCAAGTCAGCTGGTTTCTCACTCTTGTTTGTCTCCGACTCTCCCTGTGCACTCATGTTTATCTCCATGGTCCTTCCTGCAAAGAAAGAGAGGAGAAACTGGGAAACTGACATTCTTTCTAGGGAACTGGGCCATTGTCTTTATAAAGGTGGAAAGCATTTCATCTTCGAAAAGTCAGAGAAATGTCAAGAGATTTTTTTTTCCATGCGAGGGATCCTAACAGTGTAGGGGAGTGGGAATTCATACAAGGTCTGAGACATTACTACTTATCCACTGCCCACCAATTAGAAGCAGTGAATGACTTCTGTATTTTGCTTTGATTGTTCTTGCACCATTGGTCTTGCTTATTAAATTGTTTTTGTCTCATCTCAAGTTCTTTCTCACTAGTACCTTTCCACTATTCTCCCCTATACTTTCAGAGGAACATAAGGGAGCAGATGTGTAGTTTTTAGCTGCCCACCAGGTTTAAACCACAGCACGAAGGCTAGATTTTATATTTTAAACCTCCACATTCTTCCTCAAACCTCACCCATTCCTCTTCTCTGACAATGCCTCCCACCACCTGCTAGGCCAGAAGGAGTATCATGTTTACAAACACAGCCAGGAGGGGGACTGAGGATGCCCGAGAACCCTGTGTCCACAGAGATAGAACAATTTCTATTGGACATGGGAGGCTTCACCAGCCCCAAAGCATGGCCAGAGAGTTTAAAATCTCAGGAGAAGCCCTTATGAGGATGCCACTTCTGAGAGAGCTGCCCTTGTTTGACACCTTCCTGGCTCCGTAGTATAAACTTTGGAGAAACACTGGAGGCTCCAATGAAAGACGGGAACTCAGAAGACAGAGAAAAAGACCCAGCACAGCCTTTCTAATACATCCCAAGACAAGTACACTGCTCCCAACCTCTCTGCTTCCATTTGCCTCCAGAAAACATCCATGATGCCAAGATCTCACCTGCATGGGGAGTCATGTTCTTTCCACCAGGAACTGTAAGATGAGGAGCTCCAGAGATAGCAACAGCAAGAGAGGATAGGGTGAAGAATGTTCATTGCTTCCCTGGGCAGAGGAAGGCCTTGTGACTTGCCCTACTTGTCACAGGGAAGTCTCACAAAAGGGTGAGACACTCATCTTTACCCTACAGCAATGGAGGGAAATCTCACAATGACCCGTTCCTGCCCCCCACCCCACCCCCCAGCATCTTCCTCTGAGCCCATTCTTTGAAAGCTTTCCACTCCCCAGCACAGCAATGCACTCTGCTGGAATAGGATGTGCCTAAAATCATTGAGGTGTGCCCCTAGGATCAAATCCATCCCTTCCCAAAGCCTCAGTGGACTCAGTCTCAGTCTGCTGTGGACTGGAAGGGCTTCTGTGTCAAACTAGCTCAGAGGAGTAGATTCCAGAGGAGCTCACTTCTGTCCACAGTGATACAACCCACCTTAGATGTTCCCCAGGAACACCACAGTAAAGAAGAGTGGGATCCGGCATACTTACCTGAACGTTGAAAAAAATCAATTAGATCTTGGACACTGGGATCTTGGTCCCAAGTTCTTAGCATAATGTTCATATGAAAAGAGATAAAAGAGGAAATTAAGAAAAGACCTTTCCCAAAAGAAGAACAAGAAATTATTGCACAGCTTTTGGGGAAGAACATATCATGTTGGCAGGAAATGTGGCCTGATAGCAATGCCATGAGTTAGGACCAATTTATCGTACCGTGCAGCCCCATTCATATACTCGGGACTGTGAGGCTCTCTCAGCTGCCCCAGAGATGAAGTGCAGTGGCCCATGGTCTTTGCTGGGAAGGCTTCAGAGGGCTCATGCTGCTCCTTCATGGTGCAGGTTCAGGGGCAGCTGCCATTGCTGGTGCAGCTGTTGTCACTTGCCACCTGCAAGGCCTGTATCCCCTCGGGGAATCCTTGTGGGCAATTAGAAAGACTCACCCTCTATTGCTCAGAGCTCCTCTGCACAGTCACCGTGCGCACCAGAGAAGAAGAAAACAAGTCACGTCAAGACCCATGAGTTAGAAGGCAGTGCCTTCTGGACTGTCCACCTCAATGTGGCACAGCAGATGCCTCTGAGGGAGGTCTTGGGTCACGCCCCTTCCAACTACCCCTAGCACCCCTCTGACTCTGGCAGGGATCATTGTCACCAGCCCAATCCTTGCACCTCACCAAATCAGGCAGGGTTGCTTGGTGATCCAGCCTCTCCACCTCCAGCCACCACTTTTCAGACTTCCCACCACATCCCCTTCCCTCACTATCGCTCCTGCTCCAAAGCCTTCCGCCACCAACGAAACCACCAGCAACACTATACCACTGCCCCAAAACCTCCACAACATATGGCGTGCTCGTCCTGCAGACAGATGCTCACACTCAGCATTCTCTTTCTTTGGGGACTCTCTAAGAGACGGTTGGAAGGGAGGACACATTGCTAAGCCCCCCATCCCACAGAAGATGGATATACTCAGACTTATCAATCCACCCAATCCATCCCAATCCACCCTATTTTCTATTAGAAATAGCATGCCAACAGGACTAGGGAAGAGATTGTCCCTCTGATGAGGATGCAGCTTGAATCCTGTGTTCAGTTTTGGGCCCCTCACCACAAGCAGGGGGGTTTATAGTGTCAGGGGGTCCATACTGCTTTTTATTTTGAGGACATACTGCAGAGGAGTTCACAGGAAGGTTTCCCTGTGGACCAGCTTTTGCTTTCAAGCAGTTGAAGGCCTGCCTGGGGATGCTCTGCTCACCTGTCTCGTTCTCCATTTCGTCCACTGTCTTCACAAAACGACGAATCTCCATAGCCTTCTGCATCGATTCAGGGATGCTCTTATTTGCCCCTTTCATTTCTGTGAAGAAACAACAATTGCTGAGATGCTGATAACACACCCAAGACGTTGAGACCCCCTCTCTGCAAGGACAATGTCCAAAGGCACTGAAATCTTATGCTTCCCAGGAAATTCCCACTTTGGTATCTTTTGTGCGTCTGTGGTTGCCATATGTTTGCTTATTTCAGCTGGAAAAACAGTAGGAGGCACGGGCAGTAAATGAGCGCCCATCCTTTTCCTTAGCTTTTGCTCTCCACTGCGCAACAGGCTTTTCCCCTAGAAATACCATACTGAGCTGGAGGATGGTCTAAGTGCAATCTAAGTGCAACGAAGACAGAGAAAAAGACCCAGCACAGCCTTTCTAATACATCCCAAGACAAGTGCACTGCTCCCAACCTCTCTGCCTCCATTTGCCTCCAGACAGCATCCATGATGCCAAGATCTCACCTGCATGGGGAGTCATGTTCTTTCCACCAGGAACTGTAAGATGAGGAGCTCCAGAGATAGCAACAGCAAGAGAGGATAGGGTGAAGAATGTTCATTGCTTCCCTGGGCAGAGGAAGGCCTTGTGACTTGCCCTACTTGTCACAGGGAAGTCTCACAAAAGGGTGAGACACTCATCTTTAGCCTACAGCAATGGAGGGAAATCTCACAATGACCCGTTCCTGCCCCCCACCCCACCCCCCAGCATCTTCCTCTGAGCCCATTCTTTGAAAGCTTTCTACTCCCCAGCACAGCAATGCACTCTGCTGGAATAGGATGTGCCTAAAATCATTGAGGTGTGCCCCTAGGATCAAATCCATCCCTTCCCAAAGCCTCAGTGGACTCAGTCTCAGTCTGCTGTGGACTGGAAGGGCTTCTGTGTCAAACTAGCTCAGAGGAGTAGATTCCAGAGGAGCTCACTTCTGTCCACAGTGATACAACCCACCTTAGATGTTCCCCAGGAATACCACAGTAAAGAAGAGTGGGATCCTGCATACTTACCTAAATGTTGATAAAAATCTATTAGCTCTTGGACACTGCGGATCTTGGTCCCAAGTTCTTAGCATAATGTTCATATGAAAAGAGATAAAAGAGGAAATTAAGAAAAGACCTTTCCCAAAAGAAGAACAAGAAATTATTGGCACAGCTTTTGGGGAAGAACATATCATGTTGGCAGGAAATGTGGGCCTGATAGCAATGCCATGAGTTAGGACCAATTTATCGTACCGTGCAGCCCCATTCATATACTCGGGACTGTGAGGCTCTCTCAGCTGCCCCAGAGATGAAGTGCAGCGGCCCATGGTCTTTGCTGGGAAGGCTTCAGAGGGCTCATGCTACTCCTTCATGGTGCAGGTTCAGGGGCAGCTGCCATTGCTGGTGCAGCTGTTGTCACTCGCCACCTCCAAGGCCTGTATCCCCTCGGGGAATCCTTGTGGGCAATTAGAAAGACTCACCCTCTATTGCTCAGAGCTCCTCTGCACAGTCACCGTGCGCACCAGAGAAGAAGAAAACAAGTCACGTCAAGACCCATGAGTTAGAAGGCAGTGCCTTCTGGGACTGTCCACCTCAATGTGGCACAGCAGATGCCTCTGAGGGAGGTCTTGGGTCACGCCCCTTCCAACTACCCCTAGCACCCTCTGACTCTGGCAGGGATCATTGTCACCAGCCCAATCCTTGCACCTCACCAAATCAGGCAGGGTTGCTTGGTGATCCAGCCTCTCCACCTCCAGCCACCACTTTTCAGACTTCCCACCACATCCCCTTCCCTCACTATCGCTCCTGCTCCAAAGCCTTCCGCCACCAACGAAACCACCAGCAACACTATACCACTGCCCCAAAACCTCCACAACATATGGCGTGCTCGTCCTGCAGACAGATGCTCACACTCAGCATTCTCTTTCTTTGGGGACTCTCTAAGAAGACGGTTGGAAGGAGGACACATTGCTAAGCCCCCCATCCCACAGAAGATGGATATACTCAGACTTATCAATCCACCCAATCCATCCCAATCCACCCTATTTTCTATTAGAAATAGCATGCCAACAGGACTAGGGAAGAGATTGTCCCTCTGATGAGGATGCAGCTTGAATCCTGTGTTCAGTTTTGGGCCCCTCACCACAAGCAGGGGGGTTTATAGTGTCAGGGGTCCATACTGCTTTTTATTTTGAGGACATACTGCAGAGGAGTTCACAGGAAGGTTTCCCTGTGGACCAGCTTTTGCTTTCAAGCAGTTGAAGGCCTGCCTGGGGATGGCTCTGCTCACCTGTCTCGTTCTCCATTTCGTCCACTGTCTTCACAAAACGACGAATCTCCATAGCCTTCTGCATCGATTCAGGGATGCTCTTATTTGCCCCTTTCGTTTCTGTGAAGAAACAACAATTGCTGAGATGCTGATAGCACATCCAAGAGGTGGAGACCACCTCCCTGCAAGGACAATGTCCAAAGGCTCTAAATTCTTCCTTTCCAGGCAATTCCGTCTTTGGTCTGTCTTGTGTGTGTGTGGTTCCATACGGTTGCTTGTTTCAGCTGGAGCAACAGTATGAACCACAGGCAGGTAATGAACGCCCATCCTTTTCCTTTGCTTTCGCTCTCCTCTGTTGCAACGGGTTTTCCCTAGAAATACTACTGAGCTGGAGGATGATCCAAGTGCGATCTGGGTGTTTTTAAGCATGCGTTTATTTTGTGTGCCACCTGAATGCTTCCCTTCCAGAACAAGCTCTTGGAGACAGAGGTGTTCTCAACAGTAACCTGTGCTCAAAGGCATGTCCAGTGTCTGTCCTGATGGAAGCTGATCTCTTCTGATTTGGTAATCATCTGAATGACATGGTAGACATCCCAGCTGAGCTCCACTCTCAGACCTTGCTGCTCCTCAGGAAATCACTTTGGTTAGTTCCTTGCCTTGTCCATAAGAACTTGGCTCGCGTCTGCAGCTGATGACCCTCATTAAAATTCTGAGGAAACCCATTCCTCACAAACCAAAGCCGTGTCCGCAGAGGGGGCCCCAGCTCTGCTGATTTCCAAGCCTTTGTCCAGGGAAGAACTTTCTTTGCAAGCACTCCCACTGGAAGGAGCAGAGAAAGAGAAGATCTTGCCTTACAGCAGAGGGAAGAGGGCATTCCACACAGTGCAGGCTGTCCTGCTCTGTGCTGGGAAATTGCACTGTGCACTGGCAGCCTGGGGTCCAGCTTATTTGCATGGGGATAGTTGAGATGACAAAGCACTTGCTGGAGGTCCTTGGAAGTCAGAATTTCTGGAGCGGTAAGCTTCTGTCATTTCCCTGCTGTGGGCCCTTCAGGCAGCCCTCCACACACTGTTCTTCCAGGCAGATTCTCTTTGTGGGTAGTTCGGGTCAGCCTTGGTGCTCCCTGCAAGGCTGCCCACGTTTTCTCTGGGATAGAGTTAATTTTCATTATTGGAGCTGGTAGGGTGCTGAGTTTTGGACTGAGGATGAAAAAGGAGCTTGGGCTTTACCTATTCAACCGACTTTATCTCAAACACCCAAGTTCCTACACATCTAGCTTTTGGATTCTCTCCTGCATCCCTCTTGGGCAGCGAGTGAGTGCCTCTGTGGTGTTTAGCTGCCAGCCAGGGTTAAAACACAACCAAGGTGAGTCTTCCCCTGACTGTATAGGAGAGCAGAGCATTTGGGCAGCTCCTACTGCAAGACAGTTTACAGTGGAAGAGTCTACTCCGTTGCTGATGCATTGATTGAATCTCACACACAGCCTGACATGGCTATTTGATAGGACCCTCACGCCAAGGGAGAGATTCCTCCTTTGCTGTCTGAGTGAAAAGGAACAAGAGAAGAGACATGCCAACTGCCAGCATCTTCATGAGCTCATCGTGCAAAGCCTTCCACTACCAATCGCAGCAGTACACTGGGCTAGCATAGGACATGGACGATGTCAAAGATGTGTGCTTGATCCAGGACTTGGTAGGGACCGTGTGGGGGAAGGTGAAAGTTCCAGACAAGAAACACGGCAAAGGTCACAGGCATCTTTGCTAAGGCTAGCAACTATTTCGCTCACCGTCTGGCAGCTTCCACCCATGTGCTGAGACGTCCGACCCTCTTCTCTCATCTCCTATATGCCTTCAAAAGCTAGAGCTCTTCCTTGCCGTTGGTGTTCCTTTTGCATGGTGGTCCACCTCGAGGGTTAATCAGAACTCCCCCCTCCACCCTCCTCCTTCCGATGGGTTCTCTGCAAGGGCATGACCATTCCTGACACGTGCACAGGTAAAGCTGAAGGCAGAGCGGGGACTGCTTTGTGCTCAGGACAGGCCATGGAGAAGGCTTACTGTGCTTTCCCCAAGAGCAATGGTTGCACAGTGCTGGGGTGGGCCTTTAGCATGACAGACCTCACAGGTTCCTCCTCTCTGGCAGTGTGCCACACCAGCTGCCATCCCAGAAGGAGCAGCAAGTGCACAAAGAGAGCGGGCGGAGGTGGAGGATGCGTGAGCCCTGTGTGCCCACCAGCTAGAACTGTCTGCATTGCACAGGGGAGACACCACCTCTCCCAAAGTGTGGCCAGAGAGGTGGAAACTCTGGAGAAGCCCTTCGGAAGATTCCAAATCTATGAAAGCTGGCCTTGCTGGAGACCTTCCCAGCAGTGAAGTAGGATCCGTGAAGCAACACTGGGGATTTCAAGGTAGGATGGGACCCAGGAAGCAGAGGAAGGAACCCAGCAGTGTCCTTCTCATTCATCCCAAGACAAGTGCACTGCTCCCAGCCTCTGCGCTTCCCTTTGCCTCCAGACAGCGTGCATGAAGCCAGGCCCTCACCTGCATGGGGAGTCTTCATCCTTCTCACTGGGTCTGCCTTCTGAGGAGCTGCAGAGCTAGCACCTGCAAGAGAGTTTGGTGTTAAAATGTCCCTTGTTTCTCTAGTGGCCACTAGGCATTTCTACGACAAATGCAAAGGTAGGGAACACCAGTTGGAACTCTGACACTGGCACACTGGCTCACTCGATCGTGGTGCAGGTTCACGGGCAGCTGCCGTTGCTGGTGCAGCTGTTGTCACTCGCCACCTTGCAAGGCGCCCCGGGAATCCTTGTGGGCAATTAGAAAGACTCACCCTCTATTGCTCAGAGCTCCTCTGCACAGTCACCTGCGCACCAGAGAAGAAGAAAACAAGTCACGTCAAGACCCATGAGTTAGAAGGCAGTGCCTTCTGGGACTGTCCACCTCAATGTGGCACAGCAGATGCTCTGAGGGAGGTCTTGGGTCACGCCCTTCCAACTAGCACCCCTCTGACTCTGGCAGGGATCATTGTCACCAGCCCAATCCCTCACCAAATCAGGCAGGGTTGCTTGGTGATCCAGCCTCTCCACCTCCAGCCACCACTTTTCAGACTTCCACCATCCCCTTCCCTCACTATCGCTCCTGCTCCAAAGCCTTCCGCCACCAACGAAACCACCAGCAACACTATACCACTGCCCAAAACCTCCACAACATATGGCGTGCTCGTCCTGCAGACAGATGCTCACACTCAGCATTCTCTTTCTTTGGGGACTCTCTAAGAAGACGGTTGGAAGGGAGGACACATTGCTAAGCCCATCCCACAGAAGATGGATATACTCAGACTTATCAATCCACCCAATCCATCCCAATCCACCCTATTTTCTATTAGAAATAGCATGCCAACAGGACTAGGGAAGAGATTGTCCCTCTGATGAGGATGCAGCTTGAATCCTGTGTTCAGTTTTGGGCCCCTCACCACAAGAAGGGGGGTTTATAGTGTCAGGGGGTTCATGCTGCTTTTTATTTTGAGGACATACTGCAGAGGAGTTCACAGGAAGGTTTCCCTGTGGACCAGCTTTTGCTTTCAGGCAGTTGAAGGCCTGCTTGGGGATGGCTCTGCTCACCTGTCTCGTTCTCCATTTCTTCCACTGTCTTCACAAAACGACGAATCTCCATAGCCTTCTGCATCGATTCAGGGATGCTCTTATTTGCCCCTTTCGTTTCTGTGAAGAAACAACAATTGCTGAGATGCTGATAGCACATCCAAGAGGTGGAGACCACCTCCCTGCAAGGACAATGTCCAAAGGCTCTAAAATTCTTTCCTTTCCAGGCAATTCCGTCTTTGGTCTCTCTTGTGTGTGTGTGGTTGCCATATGTTTGCTTGTTTCAGCTGGAGCAACAGTATGAGCCACGGGCAGGTAATGAACGCCCATCCTTTTCCTTAGCTTTCGCTCTCCTCTGCGCAACAGGCTTTTCCCCCTAGAAATACTATACTGAGCTGGAGGATGGTCCAAGTGCGATCTGGGTGTTTTTAAGCATGCGTTTATTTGTGTGCCACCTGAATGCTTCCCCTTCCCAGAACAAGCTCTTGGAGACAGAGGTGTTCTCAACAGTAACCTGTGCTCAAAGGCATGTCCAGTGTCTGTCCTGATGGAAGCTGATCTCTTCTGATTTGGTAATCATCTGAATGACATGGTAGACATCCCAGCTGAGCTCCACTCTCACACCTTGCTGCTCCTCAGGAAATCATTACTTTGGTTAGTTCCTTGCCTTATCCACAAGGACTTGGCTCTCGTCTGCAGCTGATGACCCTCATTAAAATTCAGAGGAAACCCATTCCTCACAAACCAAAGCCATGTCCGCAGAGGGAGCCCCAGCTATGCTGATTTCCAAGCCTTTGTCCAGGGAAGAACTTTCTTGCAAGCACTCCCCACTGGAAGGAGCAGAGGAAAGAGAAGATCTTGCCTTACAGCACAGGGAAGAGGGCATTCCACACAGTGCAGGCTGTCCTGCTCTGTGCTGGGAAATTGCACTGTGCACTGGCAGCCTGGGGTCCAGCTTATTTGCATGGGGATAGTTGAGATGACAAAGCACTTGCTGGAGGTCCTTGGAAGTCAGAATTTCTGGAGCGGTAAGCTTCTGTCATTTCCCTGCTGTGGGCCCTTCAGGCAGCCCTCCACACACTGTTCTTCCAGGACAGATTCTCTTTGTGGGTAGTTCGGGTCAGCCTTGGTGCTCCCCTGCAAGGCTGCCCACGTTTTCTCTGGGATAGAGTTAATTTTCATTATTGGAGCTGGTAGGGTGCTGAGTTTTGGACTGAGGATGAAAAAAGGAGCTTGGGCTTTACCTATTCAACCGACTTTATCTCAAACACCCAAGTTCCTACACATCTAGCTTTTGGATTCTCTCCTGCATCCCTCTTGGGCAGAGCGAGTGAGTGCCTCTGTGGTGTTTAGCTGCCAGCCAGGGTTAAAACACAACCAAGGTGAGTCTTCCCCTGACTGTATAGGAGAGCAGAGCATTTGGGCAGCTCCTACCTGCAAGACAGTTTACAGTGGAAGAGTCTACTCCGTTGCTGATGCATTGATTGAATCTCACACACAGCCTTGACATGGCTATTTGATAGGACCCTCACGCCAAGGAGAGAGATTCCTCCTTTGCTGTCTGAGTGAAAAGGAACAAGAGAAGAGACATGCCAACTGCCCAGCATCTTCATACGAGCTCATCGTGCAAAAGCCTTCCACTACCAATCGCAGCAGTACACTGGGCTAGCATAGGACATGGACGATGTCAAAGATGTGTGCTTGATCCAGGACTTTGGTAGGGACCGTGTGGGGAAGGTGAAAGTTCCAGACAAGAACACGGCAAAGGTCAGCAGGCATCTTTGCTAAGGCTAGCAACTATTTCGCTCACCGTCTGGCAGCTTCCACCATGTGCTGAGACGTCCGACCCTCTTCTCTCATCTCCTATATGCCTTCAAAAGCTAGAGCTCTTCCTTGCCGTTGGTGTTCCTTTTGCATGGTGGTCCACCCCGAGGGTTAATCAGAACTCCCCCCTCCACCCTCCTCCTTCCGATGGGTTCTCTGCAAGGGCATGACCATTCCTGACACGTGCACAGGTAAAGCTGAAGGCAGAGCGGGGACTGCTTTGTGCTCAGGACAGGCCATGGAGAAGGCTTACTGTGCTTTCCCCAAGAGCAATGGTTGCACAGTGCTGGGGTGGGCCTTTAGCATGACAGACCTCCACAGGTTCCTCCTCTCTGGCAGTGTGCCACACCAGCTGCCATCCCAGAAGGAGCAGCAAGTGCACAAAGAGAGCGGGCGGAGGTGGAGGATGCGTGAGCCCTGTGTGCCCACCAAGCTAGAACTGTCTGCATTGCACAGGGGAGACACCACCTCTCCCAAAGTTGGCCAGAGAGGTGGAAACCTCTGGAGAAGCCCTTCGGAAGATTCCAAATCTATGAAAGCTGGCCTTGCTGGAGACCTTCCCAGCAGTGAAGTAGGATCCGTGAAGCAACACTGGGGATTTCAAGTAGGATGGGACCCAGGAAGCAGAGGAAGGAACCCAGCAGTGTCCTTCTCATTCATCCAAGACAAGTGCACTGCTCCCAGCCTCTGCGCTTCCCTTTGCCTCCAGACAGCGTGCATGAAGCCAGGCCCTCACCTGCATGGGGAGTCTTCATCCTTCTCACTGGGTCTGCCTTCTGAGGAGCTGCAGAGCTAGCACCTGCAAGAGAGTTTGGTGTTAAAATGTCCCTTGTTTCTCTAGTGGCCACTAGGCATTTTCTACGACAAATGCAAAGGTAGGGAACACCAGTTGGAACTCTGACACTGGCACACTGGCTCACTCGATCGTGGTGCAGGTTCACGGGCAGCTGCCGTTGCTGGTGCAGCTGTTGTCACTCGCCACCTGCAAGGCCTGTATCCCCTCGGGGAATCCTTGTGGGCAATTAGAAAGACTCACCCTCTATTGCTCAGAGCTCCTCTGCACAGTCACCGTGCGCACCAGAGAAGAAGAAAACAAGTCACGTCAAGACCCATGAGTTAGAAGGCAGTGCCTTCTGGGACTGTCCACCTCAATGTGGCACAGCAGATGCCTCTGAGGGAGGTCTTGGTCACGCCCCTTCCAACTACCCCTAGCACCCCTCTGACTCTGGCAGGGATCATTGTCACCAGCCCAATCCTTGCACCTCACCAAATCAGGCAGGGTTGCTTGGTGATCCAGCCTCTCCACCTCCAGCCACCTTTTCAGACTTCCCACCACATCCCCTTCCCTCACTATCGCTCCTGCTCCAAAGCCTTCCGCCACCAACGAAACCACCAGCAACACTATACCACTGCCCCAAAACCTCCACAACATATGGCGTGCTCGTCCTGCAGACAGATGCTCACACTCAGCATTCTCTTTCTTTGGGGACTCTCTAAGAAGACGGTTGGAAGGGGACACATTGCTAAGCCCCCCATCCCACAGAAGATGGATATACTCAGACTTATCAATCCACCCAATCCATCCCAATCCACCCTATTTTCTATTAGAAATAGCATGCCAACAGGACTAGGGAAGAGATTGTCCCTCTGATGAGGATGCAGCTTGAATCCTGTGTTCAGTTTTGGGCCCCTCACCACAAGCAGGGGGGTTTATAGTGTCAGGGGGTCCATACTGCTTTTTATTTTGAGGACATACTGCAGAGGAGTTCACAGGAAGGTTTCCCTGTGGACCAGCTTTTGCTTTCAAGCAGTTGAAGGCCTGCCTGGGGATGGCTCTGCTCACCTGTCTCGTTCTCCATTTCGTCCACTGTCTTCACAAAACGACGAATCTCCATAGCCTTCTGCATCGATTCAGGGATGCTCTTATTTGCCCCTTTCGTTTCTGTGAAGAAACAACAATTGCTGAGATGCTGATAGCACATCCAAGAGGTGGAGACCACCTCCCTGCAAGGACAATGTCCAAAGGCTCTAAAATTCTTTCCTTTCCAGGCAATTCCGTCTTTGGTCTGTCTTGTGTGTGTGTGGTTCCCATACGGTTGCTTGTTTCAGCTGGAGCAACAGTATGAACCACAGGCAGGTAATGAACGCCCATCCTTTTCCCTTTGCTTTCGCTCTCCTCTGTGCAACGGGCTTTTCCCCCTAGAAATACTATACTGAGCTGGAGGATGATCCAAGTGCGATCTGGGTGTTTTTAAGCATGCGTTTATTTGTGTGCCACCTGAATGCTTCCCCTTCCAGAACAAGCTCTTGGAGACAGAGGTGTTCTCAACAGTAACCTGTGCTCAAAGGCATGTCCAGTGTCTGTCCTGATGGAAGCTGATCTCTTCTGATTTGGTAATCATCTGAATGACATGGTAGACATCCCAGCTGAGCTCCACTCTCACACCTTGCTGCTCCTCAGGAAATCATTACTTTGGTTAGTTCCTTGCCTTGTCCATAAGAACTTGGCTCTCGTCTGCAGCTGATGACCCTCATTAAAATTCTGAGGAAACCCATTCCTCACAAACCAAAGCCGTGTCCGCAGAGGGGGCCCCAGCTCTGCTGATTTCCAAGCCTTTGTCCAGGGAAGAACTTTCTTTGCAAGCACTCCCCACTGGAAGGAGCAGAGGAAAGAGAAGATCTTGCCTTACAGCACAGGGAAGAGGGCATTCCACACAGTGCAGGCTGTCCTGCTCTGTGCTGGGAAATTGCACTGTGCACTGGCAGCCTGGGGTCCAGCTTATTTGCATGGGGATAGTTGAGATGACAAAGCACTTGCTGGAGGTCCTTGGAAGTCAGAATTTCTGGAGCGGTAAGCTTCTGTCATTTCCCTGCTGTGGGCCCTTCAGGCAGCCCTCCACACACTGTTCTTCCAGGACAGATTCTCTTTGTGGGTAGTTCGGGTCAGCCTTGGTGCTCCCCTGCAAGGCTGCCCACGTTTCTCTGGGATAGAGTTAATTTTCATTATTGGAGCTGGTAGGGTGCTGAGTTTTGGACTGAGGATGAAAAAGGAGCTTGGGCTTTACCTATTCAACCGACTTTATCTCAAACACCCAAGTTCCTACACATCTAGCTTTTGGATTCTCTCCTGCATCCCTTTGGGCAGAGCGAGTGAGTGCCTCTGTGGTGTTTAGCTGCCAGCCAGGGTTAAAACACAACCAAGGTGAGTCTTCCCCTGACTGTATAGGAGAGCAGAGCATTTGGGCAGCTCCTACCTGCAAGACAGTTTACAGTGGAAGAGTCTACTCCGTTGCTGATGCATTGATTGAATCTCACACACAGCCTTGACATGGCTATTTGATAGGACCCTCACGCCAAGGAGAGAGATTCCTCCTTTGCTGTCTGAGTGAAAAGGAACAAGAGAAGAGACATGCCAACTGCCCAGCATCTTCATACGAGCTCATCGTGCAAAAGCCTTCCACTACCAATCGCAGCAGTACACTGGGCTAGCATAGGACATGGACGATGTCAAAGATGTGTGCTTGATCCAGGACTTTGGTAGGGACCGTGTGGGGGAAGGTGAAAGTTCCAGACAAGAACACGGCAAAGGTCAGCAGGCATCTTTGCTAAGGCTAGCAACTATTTCGCTCACCGTCTGGCAGCTTCCACCCATGTGCTGAGACGTCCGACCCTCTTCTCTCATCTCCTATATGCCTTCAAAAGCTAGAGCTCTTCCTTGCCGTTGGTGTTCCTTTTGCATGGTGGTCCACCCCGAGGGTTAATCAGAACTCCCCCCTCCACCCTCCTCCTTCCGATGGGTTCTCTGCAAGGGCATGACCATTCCTGACACGTGCACAGGTAAAGCTGAAGGCAGAGCGGGGACTGCTTTGTGCTCAGGACAGGCCATGGAGAAGGCTTACTGTGCTTTCCCCAAGAGCAATGGTTGCACAGTGCTGGGTGGGCCTTTAGCATGACAGACCTCCACAGGCTCCTCTCTGGCAGTGTGCCACACAGCTGCCATCCCAGAAGGAGCAGCAAGTGCACAAAGAGAGCGGCGGAGGTGAGGATGCGTGAGCCCTGTGTGCCCACCAAGCTAGAACTGTCTGCATTGCACAGGGGAGACACCACCTCTCCAAAGTGTGGCCAGAGAGGTGGAAACCTCTGGAGAAGCCCTTCGGAAGATTCCAAATCTATGAAAGCTGGCCTTGCTGGAGACCTTCCCAGCAGTGAAGTAGGATCCGTGAAGCAACACTGGGGATTTCAAGGTAGGATGGGACCCCAGGAAGCAGAGGAAGGAACCCAGCAGTGTCCTTCTCATTCATCCCAAGACAAGTGCACTGCTCCCAGCCTCTGCGCTTCCCTTTGCCTCCAGACAGCGTGCATGAAGCCAGGCCCTCACCTGCATGGGGAGTCTTCATCCTTCTCACTGGGTCTGCCTTCTGAGGAGCTGCAGAGCTAGCACCTGCAAGAGAGTTTGGTGTTAAAATGTCCCTTGTTTCTCTAGTGGCCACTAGGCATTTCTACGACAAATGCAAAGGTAGGGAACACCAGTTGGAACTCTGACACTGGCACACTGGCTCACTCGATCGTGGTGCAGGTTCACGGGCAGCTGCCGTTGCTGGTGCAGCTGTTGTCACTCGCCACCTGCAAGGCCTGTATCCCCTCGGGGAATCCTTGTGGGCAATTAGAAAGACTCACCCTCTATTGCTCAGAGCTCCTCTGCACAGTCACCGTGCGCACCAGAGAAGAAGAAAACAAGTCACGTCAAGACCCATGAGTTAGAAGGCAGTGCCTTCTGGGACTGTCCACCTCAATGTGGCACAGCAGATGCCTCTGAGGGAGGTCTTGGGTCACGCCCCTTCCAACTACCCCTAGCACCCCTCTGACTCTGGCAGGGATCATTGTCACCAGCCCAATCCTTGCACCTCACCAAATCAGGCAGGGTTGCTTGGTGATCCAGCCTCTCCACCTCCAGCCACCACTTTTCAGACTTCCCACCACATCCCCTTCCCTCACTATCGCTCCTGCTCGCTCCAAAGCCTTCACCAACGAAACACCAGCAACACTATACCACTGCCCCAAAACCTCCACAACATATGGCGTGCTCGTCCTGCAGACAGATGCTCACACTCAGCATTCTCTTTCTTTGGGACTCTCTAAGAAGACGGTTGGAAGGGAGGACACATTGCTAAGCCCCCCATCCCACAGAAGATGGATATACTCAGACTTATCAATCCACCCAATCCATCCCAATCCACCCTATTTTCTATTAGAAATAGCATGCCAACAGGACTAGGGAAGAGATTGTCCCTCTGATGAGGATGCAGCTTGAATCCTGTGTTCAGTTTTGGGCCCCTCACCACAAGCAGGGGGGTTTATAGTGTCAGGGGGTCCATACTGCTTTTTATTTTGAGGACATACTGCAGAGGAGTTCACAGGAAGGTTTCCCTGTGGACCAGCTTTTGCTTTCAAGCAGTTGAAGGCCTGCCTGGGGATGGCTCTGCTCACCTGTCTCGTTCTCCATTTCGTCCACTGTCTTCACAAAACGACGAATCTCCATAGCCTTCTGCATCGATTCAGGGATGCTCTTATTTGCCCCTTTCGTTTCTGTGAAGAAACAACAATTGCTGAGATGCTGATAGCACATCCAAGAGGTGGAGACCACCTCCCTGCAAGGACAATGTCCAAAGGCTCTAAAATTCTTTCCTTTCCAGGCAATTCCGTCTTTGGTCTGTCTTGTGTGTGTGTGGTTCCCATACGGTTGCTTGTTTCAGCTGGAGCAACAGTATGAACCACAGGCAGGTAATGAACGCCCATCCTTTTCCCTTTGCTTTCGCTCTCCTCTGTGCAACGGGCTTTTCCCCCTAGAAATACTATACTGAGCTGGAGGATGATCCAAGTGCGATCTGGGTGTTTTAAGCATGCGTTTATTTGTGTGCCACCTGAATGCTTCCCCTTCCAGAACAAGCTCTTGGAGACAGAGGTGTTCTCAACAGTAACCTGTGCTCAAAGGCATGTCCAGTGTCTGTCCTGATGGAAGCTGATCTCTTCTGATTTGGTAATCATCTGAATGACATGGTAGACATCCCAGCTGAGCTCCACTCTCACACCTTGCTGCTCCTCAGGAAATCATTACTTTGGTTAGTTCCTTGCCTTGTCCATAAGAACTTGGCTCTCGTCTGCAGCTGATGACCCTCATTAAAATTCTGAGGAAACCCATTCCTCACAAACCAAAGCCGTGTCCGCAGAGGGGCCCCAGCTCTGCTGATTTCCAAGCCTTTGTCCAGGGAAGAACTTTCTTTGCAAGCACTCCCCACTGGAAGGAGCAGAGGAAAGAGAAGATCTTGCCTTACAGCACAGGGAAGAGGCATTCCACACAGTGCAGGCTGTCCTGCTCTGTGCTGGGAAATTGCACTGTGCACTGGCAGCCTGGGGTCCAGCTTATTTGCATGGGGATAGTTGAGATGACAAAGCACTTGCTGGAGGTCCTTGGAAGTCAGAATTTCTGGAGCGGTAAGCTTCTGTCATTTCCCTGCTGTGGGCCCTTCAGGCAGCCCTCCACACACTGTTCTTCCAGGACAGATTCTCTTTGTGGGTAGTTCGGGTCAGCCTTGGTGCTCCCCTGCAAGGCTGCCACGTTTTCTCTGGGATAGAGTTAATTTTCATTATTGGAGCTGGTAGGGTGCTGAGTTTTGGACTGAGGATGAAAAAGGAGCTTGGGCTTTACCTATTCAACCGACTTTATCTCAAACACCCAAGTTCCTACACATCTAGCTTTTGGATTCTCTCCTGCATCCCTCTTGGGCAGAGCGAGTGAGTGCCTCTGTGGTGTTTAGCTGCCAGCCAGGGTTAAAACACAACCAAGGTGAGTCTTCCCCTGACTGTATAGGAGAGCAGAGCATTTGGGCAGCTCCTACCTGCAAGACAGTTTACAGTGGAAGAGTCTACTCCGTTGCTGATGCATTGATTGAATCTCACACACAGCCTTGACATGGCTATTTGATAGGACCCTCACGCCAAGGAGAGAGATTCCTCCTTTGCTGTCTGAGTGAAAAGGAACAAGAGAAGTGACATGGCAACTGCCCAGCATCTTCATACGAGCTCATCGTGCAAAAGCCTTCCACTACCAATCGCAGCCGTACACTGGGCTAGCATAGGACATGGACGATGTCAAAGATGTGTGCTTGATCCAGGACTTTGGTAGGGACCGTGTGGGGGAAGGTGAAAGTTCCAGACAAGAACACGGCAAAGGTCAGCAGGCATCTTTGCTAAGGCTAGCAACTATTTCGCTCACCGTCTGGCAGCTTCCACCCATGTGCTGAGACGTCCGACCCTCTTCTCTCATCTCCTATATGCCTTCAAAAGCTAGAGCTCTTCCTTGCCATTGGTGTTCCTTTTGCACGGTGATCCACCCCGAGGGTTAATCAGAACTCCCCCTCCTCCTTCCGATGGATTCTCTCCAAGGGCATGACCATTCCTGACACGTGCACAGGTAAAGCTGAAGGCAGAGCGAGCAGACTGCTTTGTGCTCGGGGCAGGCAATGGAGAAGGCTTACTGTGCTTTCCCCAAGAGCAATGGTTGCACAGTGCTGGGGTGGGCCTTTAGCATGACAGACCTCCACAGGTTCCTCCTCTCTGGCAGTGTGCCACACCAGCTGCCATCCAGAAGGAGCAGCAAGTGCACAAAGAGAGCGGGCGGAGGTGGAGGATGCGTGAGCCCTGTGTGCCCACCAAGCTAGAACTGTCTGCATTGCACAGGGGAGACACCACCTCTCCCAAAGTGTGGCCAGAGAGGTGGAAACCTCTGGAGAAGCCCTTCGGAAGATTCCAAATCTATGAAAGCTGGCCTTGCTGGAGACCTTCCCAGCAGTGAAGTAGGATCCGTGAAGCAGCACTGGGGATTTCAAGGTAGGATGGGACCCCAGGAAGCAGAGGAAGGAACCCAGCAGTGTCCTTCTCATTCATCCCAAGACAAGTGCACTGCTCCCAGCCTCTGCGCTTCCCTTTGCCTCCAGACAGCGTGCATGAAGCCAGGCCCTCACCTGCATGGGGAGTCTTCATCCTTCTCACTGGGTCTGCCTTCTGAGGAGCTGCAGAGCTAGCACCTGCAAGAGAGTTTGGTGTTAAAATGTCCCTTGTTTCTCTAGTGGCCACTAGGCATTTCTACGACAAATGCAAAGGTAGGGAACACCAGTTGGAACTCTGACACTGGCACACTGGCTCACTCGATCGTGGTGCAGGTTCACGGGCAGCTGCCGTTGCTGGTGCAGCTGTTGTCACTCGCCACCTGCAAGGCCTGTATCCCCTCGGGGAATCCTTGTGGGCAATTAGAAAGACTCACCCTCTATTGCTCAGAGCTCCTCTGCACAGTCACCGTGCGCACCAGAGAAGAAGAAAACAAGTCACGTCAAGACCCATGAGTTAGAAGGCAGTGCCTTCTGGGACTGTCCACCTCAATGTGGCACAGCAGATGCCTCTGAGGGAGGTCTTGGGTCACGCCCCTTCCAACTACCCCTAGCACCCTCTGACTCTGGCAGGGATCATTGTCACCAGCCCAATCCTTGCACCTCACCAAATCAGGCAGGGTTGCTTGGTGATCCAGCCTCTCCACCTCCAGCCACCACTTTTCAGACTTCCCACCACATCCCCTTCCCTCACTATCGCTCCTGCTCCAAAGCCTTCCGCCACCAACGAAACACCAGCAACACTATACCACTGCCCCAAAACCTCCACAACATATGGCGTGCTCGTCCTGCAGACAGATGCTCACACTCAGCATTCTCTTTCTTTGGGGACTCTCTAAGAAGACGGTTGGAAGGGAGGACACATTGCTAAGCCCCCCATCCCACAGAAGATGGATATACTCAGACTTATCAATCCACCCAATCCATCCCAATCCACCCTATTTTCTATTAGAAATAGCATGCCAACAGGACTAGGGAAGAGATTGTCCCTCTGATGAGGATGCAGCTTGAATCCTGTGTTCAGTTTTGGGCCCCTCACCACAAGCAGGGGGGTTTATAGTGTCAGGGGGTCCATACTGCTTTTTATTTTGAGGACATACTGCAGAGGAGTTCACAGGAAGGTTTCCCTGTGGACCAGCTTTTGCTTTCAAGCAGTTGAAGGCCTGCCTGGGGATGGCTCTGCTCACCTGTCTCGTTCTCCATTTCGTCCACTGTCTTCACAAAACGACGAATCTCCATAGCCTTCTGCATCGATTCAGGGATGCTCTTATTTGCCCCTTTCGTTTCTGTGAAGAAACAACAATTGCTGAGATGCTGATAGCACATCCAAGAGGTGGAGACCACCTCCCTGCAAGGACAATGTCCAAAGGCTCTAAAATTCTTTCCTTTCCAGGCAATTCCGTCTTTGGTCTGTCTTGTGTGTGTGTGGTTCCCATACGGTTGCTTGTTTCAGCTGGAGCAACAGTATGAACCACAGGCAGGTAATGAACGCCCATCCTTTTCCCTTTGCTTTCGCTCTCCTCTGTGCAACGGGCTTTTCCCCCTAGAAATACTATACTGAGCTGGAGGATGATCCAAGTGCGATCTGGGTTTTTTAAGCATGCGTTTATTTGTGTGCCACCTGAATGCTTCCCCTTCCCAGAACAAGCTCTTGGAGACAGAGGTGTTCTCAACAGTAACCTGTGCTCAAAGGCATGTCCAGTGTCTGTCCTGATGGAAGCTGATCTCTTCTGATTTGGTAATCATCTGAATGACATGGTAGACATCCCAGCTGAGCTCCACTCTCACACCTTGCTGCTCCTCAGGAAATCATTACTTTGGTTAGTTCCTTGCCTTGTCCATAAGAACTTGGCTCTCGTCTGCAGCTGATGACCCTCATTAAAATTCTGAGGAAACCCATTCCTCACAAACCAAAGCCGTGTCCGCAGAGGGGGCCCCAGCTCTGCTGATTTCCAAGCCTTTGTCCAGGGAAGAACTTTCTTTGCAAGCACTCCCCACTGGAAGGAGCAGAGGAAAGAGAAGATCTTGCCTTACAGCACAGGGAAGAGGGCATTCCACACAGTGCAGGCTGTCCTGCTCTGTGCTGGGAAATTGCACTGTGCACTGGCAGCCTGGGGTCCAGCTTATTTGCATGGGGATAGTTGAGATGACAAAGCACTTGCTGAGGTCCTTGGAAGTCAGAATTTCTGGAGCGGTAAGCTTCTGTCATTTCCCTGCTGTGGGCCCTTCAGGCAGCCCTCCACACACTGTTCTTCCAGGACAGATTCTCTTTGTGGGTAGTTCGGGTCAGCCTTGGTGCTCCCCTGCAAGGCTGCCCACGTTTTCTCTGGGATAGAGTTAATTTTCATTATTGGAGCTGGTAGGGTGCTGAGTTTTGGACTGAGGATGAAAAAGGAGCTTGGGCTTTACCTATTCAACCGACTTTATCTCAAACACCCAAGTTCCTACACATCTAGCTTTTGGATTCTCTCCTGCATCCCTCTTGGGCAGAGCGAGTGAGTGCCTCTGTGGTGTTTAGCTGCCAGCCAGGGTTAAAACACAACCAAGGTGAGTCTTCCCCTGACTGTATAGGAGAGCAGAGCATTTGGGCAGCTCCTACCTGCAAGACAGTTTACAGTGGAAGAGTCTACTCCGTTGCTGATGCATTGATTGAATCTCACACACAGCCTTGACATGGCTATTTGATAGGACCCTCACGCCAAGGAGAGAGATTCCTCCTTTGCTGTCTGAGTGAAAAGGAACAAGAGAAGAGACATGCCAACTGCCCAGCATCTTCATACGAGCTCATCGTGCAAAAGCCTTCCACTACCAATCGCAGCAGTACACTGGGCTAGCATAGGACATGGACGATGTCAAAGATGTGTGCTTGATCCAGGACTTTGGTAGGGACCGTGTGGGGGAAGGTGAAAGTTCCAGACAAGAACACGGCAAAGGTCAGCAGGCATCTTTGCTAAGGCTAGCAACTATTTCGCTCACCGTCTGGCAGCTTCCACCCATGTGCTGAGACGTCCGACCCCTTCTCTCATCTCCTATATGCCTTCAAAAGCTAGAGCTCTTCCTTGCCGTTGGTGTTCCTTTTGCATGGTGGTCCACCCGAGGGTTAATCAGAACTCCCCCCTCCACCCTCCTCCTTCCGATGGGTTCTCTGCAAGGGCATGACCATTCCTGACACGTGCACAGGTAAAGCTGAAGGCAGAGCGGGGACTGCTTTGTGCTCAGGACAGGCCATGGAGAAGGCTTACTGTGCTTTCCCCAAGAGCAATGGTTGCACAGTGCTGGGGTGGGCCTTTAGCATGACAGACCTCCACAGGTTCCTCCTCTCTGGCAGTGTGCCACACCAGCTGCCATCCCAGAAGGAGCAGCAAGTGCACAAGAGAGCGGGCGGAGGTGGAGGATGCGTGAGCCCTGTGTGCCCACCAAGCTAGAACTGTCTGCATTGCACAGGGGAGACACCACCTCTCCCAAAGTGTGGCCAGAGAGGTGGAAACCTCTGGAGAAGCCCTTCGGAAGATTCCAAATCTATGAAAGCTGGCCTTGCTGGAGACCTTCCCAGCAGTGAAGTAGGATCCGTGAAGCAACACTGGGGATTTCAAGGTAGGATGGGACCCCAGGAAGCAGAGGAAGGAACCCAGCAGTGTCCTTCTCATTCATCCCAAGACAAGTGCACTGCTCCCAGCCTCTGCGCTTCCCTTTGCCTCCAGACAGCGTGCATGAAGCCAGGCCCTCACCTGCATGGGGAGTCTTCATCCTTCTCACTGGGTCTGCCTTCTGAGGAGCTGCAGAGCTAGCACCTGCAAGAGAGTTTGGTGTTAAATGTCCCTTGTTTCTCTAGTGGCCACTAGGCATTTCTACGACAAATGCAAAGGTAGGGAACACCAGTTGGAACTCTGACACTGGCACACTGGCTCACTCGATCGTGGTGCAGGTTCACGGGCAGCTGCCGTTGCTGGTGCAGCTGTTGTCACTCGCCACCTGCAAGGCCTGTATCCCCTCGGGGAATCCTTGTGGGCAATTAGAAAGACTCACCCTCTATTGCTCAGAGCTCCTCTGCACAGTCACCGTGCGCACCAGAGAAGAAGAAAACAAGTCACGTCAAGACCCATGAGTTAGAAGGCAGTGCCTTCTGGGACTGTCCACCTCAATGTGGCACAGCAGATGCCTCTGAGGGAGGTCTTGGGTCACGCCCCTTCCAACTACCCTAGCACCCCTCTGACTCTGGCAGGGATCATTGTCACCAGCCCAATCCTTGCACCTCACCAAATCAGGCAGGGTTGCTTGGTGATCCAGCCTCTCCACCTCCAGCCACCACTTTTCAGACTTCCCACCACATCCCCTTCCCTCACTATCGCTCCTGCTCAAAGCCTTCCGCCACCAACGAAACCACCAGCAACACTATACCACTGCCCCAAAACCTCCACAACATATGGCGTGCTCGTCCTGCAGACAGATGCTCACACTCAGCATTCTCTTTCTTTGGGGACTCTCTAAGAAGACGGTTGGAAGGGAGGACACATTGCTAAGCCCCATCCCACAGAAGGATATACTCAGACTTATCAATCCACCCAATCCATCCCAATCCACCCTATTTTCTATTAGAAATAGCATGCCAACAGGACTAGGGAAGAGATTG